CTGGTGAGCCTCAAGAAAACTCGCATATATAAGTAGGTAACCAAAGACTGAGGTTCATCACATATCTATATTGCAAAACCTCATCATGACCCGTGGGGGGAATAAATATTGCCATAAACTCCCTAATCGTTGCCAATGGACCTCATTATGTATCATATGACGTAACTTGCTAACTTTCTTAAAGCCCCTTCCATATATATATTTTTTTAATCGGCCAGAATCCCGTAATAATGATGACTGTCTTGTATAAAGCCGAAATAACTCCAGGCTCCGGGACGAAATGTATCATCCATGCTTGATATAGATCCACGCGGCGCCAGACACCGGTCTACTCTCATAACTGCTGCCCTATTCGGTGCTGGTATGCCTTCCACGCTTTTCTTCGATACCGTTCGGCCTCCACTTGCGGTGACGCCGCTTTGAGAATACCCCGCCCAACGATTATAATATCGCTACCACCTAATCCAACAAGCTTTGAGGGGGTGTTGTACTGCTGGCCAAGACCATCGCCCGCGATATTCCCTTCGTCCTCATCTCCCTCGGGAGGCAATTGGCAGCCGGGGGTCATGGAAATGAAGTTGTCCGCCTGTTCGCTGTTCAGCGTTTCCTGAGAAATGAAACCCATCACGAAGTCCTTGTGCTCTCTGGCAGCTTCGACGCATGCTTGCGTGTACTCCTTAGTCATCAGGTTCCCTGCACTTGACATCTGTGCCAATATCAAGAGTCCTCGTTCCCACGGAGGCTCTTCGATTCCTGCGTAGACAAGCTCGTCGCCCTCGGCAATACCGCTAGCAAAACGAGGCGAGTCTACCGGCTCAAAAGATTGAGTTAGGGTGGTGATAGACACGATGCTTCCTTTTCTACCGTTATTGTGTAGGTTTGACGGAGGTGGGAGCTCTTTCGGCGCCGGCGGGGGCGCGAGTGTAGGGTTTTCGTCTTCTTCGTCGAACGAGTCCGAGACCGGGGTACCGACGGAGACGGACGTCCTCACTTCATAGTTGACACGTGAACGCCACCGCGCGGCTGCTTGCTGAAGTGCAGTTACGGCTGCCTTTCCGGGCACCATATTGACATTTACGATGTGTGCCCAATCGATGATACGGGCACTGCCAGCTGTATACTGTAACTGAACCGTACTGCCGATGTCGCCAAATTTTCTGTCCTCAAAGATGAGGAATCCATGTCTCCTTGCAAGAGCACCCAGCTTAGCACCGGTGCCTGTTTGCGGATGAAAATCCCATCCCGTGACGAGATCGTAATGCGTCTTAAGTACAACAATGGAAGGGCCAATTCTGTCTGCTATCGTGAGAAGTTCGCGGGCGGAAGTGACGTCGGCGCTGAGACACAGATTCGATTTCTTCAATTCCATGAGACGGAAGAGGTAATTGGCTAGCGGGTGAGTGACATTGTTGGCTCTCTCGGCGAAGCTCGCCTTGAACGTAGGGTGGCGGTTCGAAGCTGCGGACATAGCAAATCAATTGATGGTGATATTTGCTAATTTGATTCAACTTTTTGCTTCTGGGCTCGTAAGTACGAGGCAGGACTCGAGACGGCAATTGTGGGCTAGTACAGTTCCAGCGAACACGTTAACCCGGTCAGGCTCTACCGACAGAAGGGTCTAGTTATCGGGGGAAGCGATCGACGGTTGGGCGAGAACCCTGGACGTTGTGGAGCTATATGATGTCAATTCACTATAGGAGAGAACATGTATCTAATTGAAGGACAAGAAGGGAGGGAAGAAAGATCGAGCTGCATAGAAATTCTGCGGCCTGAAGTACTCTAGATATATATTTTGGGCTAAATGGATCTCTTGATGTGAAACACAGTATATATAGGGACTTTAGTAAACAAGGTAAGGCAAAAATAACGGGTACGAATATGGGTATGGGTATGGGTGCACGAAGGCAATGTCTTCGTGGAGAAACCGAACATACCTGAAAGCTGGAGACGCAGAGACGCAGGGACGCAGGGACGGACGCAAGGTTCGTCCTCTACTCGGTGGACCGCCCTCGTACTTTGGAAGCTGACCGACAATCTTGTGCATATGCTGTTCTCCTGTCAAGCCTTGAGAATCTTGAGAAACCTGGGGTCTTCGGGCCTATTTGTCTCCTAGGTGTAAATGTTTGCTTGCAAATCGGAAAAAAAAGGTACGAGGGTTCGGGTCCGAATTAGACGAAGATCGGAGACGCCTATAGGTCTCCGGGTAGTCTTAGTAAGTATTCGCTAGAGGAAGCCAACCGTAGACTTGTTGACTTGGTCACTTGGGCACCAAGGGATATTGTCCAGTCTTTTATCGAGTCGGGATGAAGCAAACGGACGATCGAAGAGAGGGGGGGGAGAGCCGGGGAAGGGAAAAGGAGATGAAAAAGAAAAAAAAAAGGCTAGGTAAAGTTTTTGAGGGGAAGCGGGTTGCGGAAGGCGTTGGCGTTGGCGTTGGACGGTCCAGGTTTCGGTTTTTTTCAATTCTAACTTACCTAACTTAGGTATTTAAACAACTAACTGCGTGCCCGTACCTAAGTTAGACCAATTAACGTTTCTCGGACTATATTAGTTTGAAACTGAAGACTTCGGAATCGAGTCCAGACTTCTTTAGCTTGATTTGTTGGTTTGTTAATTATAGTAGTTATAGTAGGAGTAGCAATTGTAATGACAGGTTCTAGGATCTGTAGGGTCTAGGGTGAAGGCGGTGGGGGAAGCCTTGAGTAGTAGAATTGGTAGAGTGGTGCCAGTGGACAGGTGGGAAGTTTCGATGCAAGTTAGCCCACCTAGACTGTTACTGTCTACTAGGTAAGTGGGATGGTATGATGGTATTGTATCATGGATGAAAATAAAAGTACGAAAGGTACGAGAGCAAAAAGGAATGGAATTGAATCGGGTCGGGTGTCACAGGAGAATGGGCGAATGATCAATTGTCCGTCGGCAAGGTACTTGCACCTACATATGTACATAGTACCTACCCATACATTATGTACCTACATGTAGATACTACCTAATGGGAAGTCAAGCTGAGCCACGCCGCTTTTAGCCTGAGCCTGATATGAACGATACGGTACGGTACTGGTATGTACCTAACTTATCATAATTGCATAAAAACAACGGATACGGTCTGTCTGAGCTACTTCTACAATACCTGCCTACTTATATAATACCAGCTTCAAAGCTTAACTCTTAATATAGAACTACATATGTAGGTAAGCAACGAGCTACAAGAGGATCTGATCCGCTTTCGAGGCAATATTCCAAACCGTCGTCCAAGCCGTTTTGACTGCGAACAACAAATTCATATCGATAGCCTAGAATCTGCGATTACCCAATTTATCCAGTCTTGTCTTGTTGGATTCGAGATGGCAGCTGAATGGAATTACTTGTCGAAGAACTTCCCAAAGGTTATGCCATACTTTTCGTCGTGGATAGACCTCCGCGTTATTGGCAAAGACATCACTTCAGCTAAAGTTTTGCCTAGGCGGGTCTCTATGCTCCAAACCTTAGGTACTCCTAGAAAGATACCTACTATTAAAGGCAGTAACCGGAATAGCTCGGCTAGTGATGCGGGAGACGATACTGTATCGATTTTGGCTACAGCAAATGCCTTTTCTTGACCCCGAAAACCAAGACAAGCTACGCAGCCGAGTCACTCAACAAAACAGAAAGAAAGCGGGCTCTCTTTTTCTTGACAAGAATAAGATAGCGCCGTTACAGGCTATAAGCACTTCTGAAATAACAGAGAAGCAGCAATCAAGAGAATCCCGAAAGGCGCAAAACCCAGAAAGCGACTTTGACAGCTTGGGGGAAACTTTTCTTTTATCGGGCCTTGCTATTCGTGATTTCGGGTGTCACACGGTGACCCGGCCCACAATGCATCCGAACGACACGATAAATGGATCAGACTAGGTACCGAGATTCCAGTTCAAACCTTCTAGCAGTGCAATGGTTGTACGTCTAAGCGGTAATTGGCAAGTATTGAGCCCATAGCAGGCAAGCTCACGCCCAAGTTAGAAAACTCCCGCCACTATCTCTCACGAGCAACACGGCTGGCAGCATGTCGTGAGCATTTGAACACTTCGATTTGCCCTCCCTGGTAATTTTGCGGTTATGTTTTGGGAGATGGTGTTTGTGAACACTGAGCAACTGGCCGCGTGCACCCGGAAGGGTCAACATCTAGGCTTCTCGTCTCACCCTATATTAGCTGATGCTTCAGTTAGGTGTGCAGATGCTATATAATGTGATGCTCTGCAAAACGCGTCATTATTATTTTACGCGTTTTAAGTTAAGGCCACTTGAGATAACCGCATATCACATGTTTTGAATTGGCATTGTATGCTGCGGACCATGAAAACTCTAAGGTAGAGTATACCTTCCTTCTTTGAACAGCCCATATAGGACCACAACAGATTTGTATTCTGAAGAGGTAGGAACGAGTCTACTGCATCTGGGTAGGACTTTACATGTCCGCACGGTCTAATTCTACTATCTATCAAAATCTCGTTTCCCTCTGTTCTTCCTTTCTTTCTGTTTTCTTCTCAAGGCCGGATCGAAAGATCTCAAGGACTTTGAGATGAGGGAGTTCTGTGGCGGGAAGTTCCTTACCAAGGTTCTATTACCTCGAGCCTTGACAGGAGTGTCATAGTACACTACATACCCTCTGGCAGGTTCACGGGCAAACATTCATGGCTCAAGCCTTTTTTTTATTGCACTCGTTGGCTGGTCCAATGATGTGAAGGAGGAATCTGATATCCCTCTCCCTCTCTCTGTTCCTATCTACTTCTCATCGCGCATGGTTTTCTCATAGCTACGCGGACCCTCGACAGGTACTGCGACTAGCTATTGAGGGGCGTCCCGTCGGTCATACCGCAAGTCGTTGCGGTTTCATCGAATGTATAAAAATAAAAGTATTGTTCGACATAGACACCAGGGTAGCTGGGTGGGGGTGCTGATATCAGTTGGTGATTGCTCGGTCATAATATCATCAACCTGAACAAGAAATCTAAAGGAAAAAATATTGGATACGGTAGGAATCGAACCGACAACTCTGGATGCCAGCATAATGAGAGTACCAGCGTGTTTCCATTTACACCACGTACCCTTCGAAGGTTTAGAGAAATAGATAAATATATATACTAAAGGCCACCTGGTGACGAAATATCCAGAGTTTACTGAGGAAGGTCGGCACGGGCACCAGGCTAACGCCACAATCGAGCTGGTCTGTGCGCACACTTCTTCTTGATTGGTCAGCGCTACCTGGAAATAAGTCGGTCCGCGCCCCTTTGATTACCCTAGGTGCTTCCAAGCTCGGGCGATACTCTGAAATCAGTCACTTAACTGACAATAGGGTGAGCTACGCCTGAGCAAAAGCGGCGAATGCGCTAAGCCCAATTTGCCGCGCTCTTGGCATTTGGTAAAACTTAGAACCTTCTTAGCTATTTAAGTAGCTAGCCCATCCTGTGCCTTCCCGTCGTGAACCACAGCAGGCTTTTTATTCGAAGAAGGTCCGAGGATGACACTGTACATACACGGCTGGGTATATGCGTACATGCGCATGTACCTGGTATAAATGTACCGGGAGGATTGCATGTGCTAGCCGAAAAAGGGTGGATCTTAAAAGCAAAATGCTATAAATGTGTTGAAGTACCAAATGGGATTTGTTACAATCATGCGCCAAGTTAATTGCGGTAAGTATCTCAGGTAGATATTGTACATACCTAGTATTGTACATACGCCTTAGGCAATATGCAGGCAGCCACTGTTATAAATTGAAATCCCGTCGTCCTTCATAGGTGGAAATGAGGGTCTCTAGTCTAAAAGGGTAAGCAACACATTAAAAACTTTGGACCATCTCCAACATGAGGCGCAAACAATGCGACTGGCTATGTAGTCCGCTGACTGTTCCCCTCGGCATCCTTCTTCCTCGAGATGCATACTTGGTGAATCCTTTTTCTATTTCAGGTCGGGCCTAAAGCGAACAAGGCCAATGGACTTGAATGGTCTTATAATGGTCTTACCTTTAAGGAAGGGCTGGAACAAACTTCTTACGCACTACAACATACAGCAATACCGTTAGGATTGAGTTCACAGCAGGGTCTACCTGCGTTGACAGTCTCGTCTGGGATAGTGCACTCTTCTAAGGCAATGCCTATTTCTCTATAATCTCTCATGTTTTGAGCAGGGGAGTTATCGACTAAGGCTCTGCCAAGATAAATGCTGTGTATCCACGGATGTTATAAAGTGCATAAGAAGACGGACCATCGTGATGAGTTGGGGAGGGAACCGAACGACGTCATTTGTTGGCATGCCATGACTCGGCGAATAGCACATTCAGTCGGGCGAAACCAACTGTGCTTAGTATGAATTTCGCAGGTTCTCAAGTACAACAGCTTTTTATCGACATTGGCTGATATGCATGTTGTATGCATAGTATAAAGCTGTAAGTGGTTGATAGTAGCCTGGAAGGTGAAGCTGCTGACTACCTAGGCTATGTCATCTTGGTTGCATTCATCGCATTTACACAGGCTTAATTAGGTACGATCGATAGTGTTACGCTGCAGCTCTGAATTCACCGAGATAGCAACAACCACGCGGCTTCAGGTATGAGGCTTCAGGCTTTATATACTAAAGCATTTCACTAAGGCATTTATAGGAGTATGAAGATAGTTCCGCAATCAATAATACTAGGTAAGTCTTCGATAAGAGGTTATAAGTCGTGGGTTATAGTAGTAGATATGGGAGACGAATTCCGACTTGAACCTGTCTCATGTGAAAGGTACCTAATTATGAAGGACGGCTTGCGGCAGACATGGGTCAAAGAAGAGGGAAAGTAGGGCGTCGATCGTCCCGTCCCGAATTCGAATTCGCGATAACGACAACGTTAACGTTATCAGTTTCAAGATGTGGGGCATTAACTTAGCGTCCACCTTACAGAGCACTGAGAGCAGGCACTTGGCAGGGCAGGCAGGGCATATTCTGATACTACGTAGAGGCCACATGCAGCCTTACCTAATCTAAAAAAGATAAATTGCGGGCCTTACAGCCTCGATAGCTCTTTAGACTTCCAATCAATCAATTGAACGGTTGACGCGATCCCTGGCAGCTGGCACCTACCAAAAAGTCTTAGGCATTTTTCCCTCTCCGTCAAGTCCGTCCTTCCCGACCCAGCCGAAGGGAACGCTTATCAGAAGACAACGTTAGAATCTATTAAGATTCTTAACTCCTCCCTCTTCTTTGATTACCTAGGTACCTATCTATCTAGATGAATCCAATCTGTTTTTACCTCTTTATTTGATACTGAAGTTATCTTACTTCCTACAACCTGGTTCACTTGAGCGGTCGCATATTTTCCTCTTTGATAGCTCTTCCGTCTTCTTTCACATTCTTTCACGGAGGGTTATCATTAGATACCATACCACCATACCTATCAGAACATCACACCACGAAAAAAAAGCCACCGAGTAATCTGCTACGCCGCTCGTGCATCCCAGCTGAGCGCTAATCTACGATCGTCTTTTCAGCTCCCTATCAGCAAATAAATAAATACTTGGATTGAATATCATCTACTCTTCCTTCGACGCCCATTGCCACTTTCAAGAGGACTCGTCATCATGTCTGAGAGAAGAACCAGGCGGCAGGCCGCTCTGGCAGCAGCCGCGGCCGCGGACGACACTCCTACCAAATCCAATAACAACGATGCTACCATGAATGGCAACGGTATTAGCAATGACGAGAATGGCCTAGCTGTGGCGCCTTCAGAGTCTAAAGTTGACAACTATCCGCGAGAGAACATATTCATATTTTGGCCTAACATCATAGGTATGCGCATCTCCTATCAATGCAAGGCTGCATGCGCCGAAACAGCGCAGATCTTTATTATACACTCCTTGCATCTGACACCTTGGCTTAATCTAACGATGTGAACAAACAGGCTATTCTCGTATTGTTCTCGCCATTGCGTCTCTCTACTACATGCCCTTGCACCCTCGAACGTGCTCGATACTATACAGTATTTCGTGTCTTCTCGATGCCCTCGATGGCTATGCAGCTCGCTATTTCGAGCAGTCCACCAAGTTTGGCGCCGTCCTAGACATGGTAACAGATCGATGTACCACCTCGTGCTTACTCGTCTTCCTGTCCTCCGCGTTCCCCCGATGGGCTATCGTGTTCCAGGGCCTGATTTCCGTCGACTTTGCAAGCCACTACACACATATGTATGCGACGCTCGCTATGGGAGGCTCGGATTCCAGCCACAAAAATGTAGACAAATCAAGGAGCTGGTTGTTGAACCTATACTATACTAACAAGGTTTGTTTCTTTAGTTGCAAATTCATCCTTGCACTCTTAGCTAATCAGATGCCAGACTGTTCTCTTCATATGTTGCGCGCTCAATGAAGTCTTCTTCATTGCTTTATATCTACTCTCCTTCTCATCGCCACTTCTATCACCACAGCTACTTGAGCCTCTCGGCGAGACCAGAGCTAATGCCATTCAAACCGGGGCGCAAGTTAACAGCTCGGTGCTCCGCCAACTATTCACCAATCCTTACAGCGCCGGTGCTCTAGAGATGGCACGCGCAAATAAGATGGATTCCACCTTCCCTTGGATTCTCGCCGGGGTTAGCGCTCCCGTCATGGCACTAAAACAATTCCTCAACGTCGTTCAACTCGTCAAGGCGAGCCGATGGCTGGGTGAAGGCGACGTTGCGGCGAGAAGAAAGGCCGGCCTACCAAGGCGGAAGAGTGAATAAGAGGACATATCCACAAGGCTATTGGCCAGCGGCGGATCAGGACCTCGGGATAAGCCTGAAGACGAAAATATGGTGCGGGTCTGTACGAGATATCCTGTTTACGGAAGGCGTGAGGCATCGGACGGGCCTGAATGGTTTGTCCCAATTGGTTGCATGGGCTCGGGCATGGGAGGCAATAGAAATAGGATTGGCTCAACAATGAGTTCGTGTGCTACCCTATCTAGGTAGGTACCTAATCAAGGAGAGGCTAAACGGAGTGAACTAACGAGCATACCCAAAAGCCTTGAACACAATCTTCGTTGCACATATGTAATCTTAATCATGAAACGGGCGAGGACGGGATCGCAGGGACGAAAAAGAAACCACGTGCGCATTGCGAATAAATACCACAGTTTTAACGGTCCATCTACATGATCTAGAGTGCTAATAGGAGGAGGTAGTTCGAATGATATATCATACTTGTGCCCCTATTCGTAACTACTGCAGTGCAACCCAGAGAGTTAACGTCCGTCTCACTCGTTGCAGGGATGGCGTTGGTAAGACCACTTTCAAGTTGTTGCCCCTATTTTGACCAAGTGTCTGAAGATGGATAATCAAAAGCAAAAGTCGCCCCATCACATCCCCCACCAGCTCCTATTTTCACCAAATATTCACACACCCCCATGGATGCTTCGCACGAATTTACATACCGTGCAGAAAAGCAAGATTATGAACTTCAAATGTTCCGGGCCCCCCTTGGTCCTTTTCGTCTCTACGCAGCAAGCAAAGTTTTCATGAGGATATGTGACGTGACAACCAGCATCTAAACATAACATCTAATACACCAACGCCACCAACTGCATAGACCAGGTAGTACGAAAGGACAAGTGGCCTAAGGCTCCCCTAAAAGTATCATCACTCGCATTAGAACAGACGCACCTGTCCGTCATGCCATGCAGGTCTGACTTCGGAGCTAAGGGTAGGATACCGATACCTGCAAAGAGGGTCGTACACATATCACATCAAGTGACCGCACATACATATATTCACTTCCTGCACGGGCAGACACGATGCTACGGGAAGAGACGGCGTGTCTTTGTCTAGTGTACAGTGCCGAGACAACCACTCACGCTCCCGTAGACATTCTCCGAAACGGCACCGTCGATCATAGCGATGAACTCCGAAAAATCCAATCCAATATATCGAAGAAATTTGGTGTGGGAGAGAATTGTCTCTCGTACATATGCACCCCGCAAATCATCGCATACCGTCACTCCAGATCCGCCGACCAGCCAGCCTCACTAAACACCTGCCTACCTAGGAAAGTACCTAAGCTCTCTTTACCGGCGTTAGCTTCACCATCAGCGGCGGCT